CAAGAATTATCGGACATGTCGGCCGTAAGGCAGAGGCTCAACCACTGCCGGGGGCTTGAATTTCTGAGAGTCAGCAACGACAGCAACTCGGCAGCCCCATCAAGGTTAAACGGAGGGGCAGCATTGGAAGGGAGGAGGGGGGAGGGTGGAGTGGCCGTGGAGATCGTTTTCTCTGCAATCGCTCCGTGATTGTGGGCCAAGAGGTTAATTTCCCTCGAACATAAACAGGAGTTAATGAGAGTGACAATCTGCGGAAAAAATATTTACGCTCAAATCGGAGGAGGGTGTCAATCAATACGCGGTAATGACTTAAATATGCACCAGGAATGGTTAATGGTAACAGTAGGATGAGACGATACATGCTTGACACTGCGCGCAAAGGTTTAACTGTAGCTAATGGTATGGCAAGATGACTGTGCAAAGAACACAAATGCAAAGTGAATCGTGATATTTATATTAACATTCAGCTTGTGTAAGATTTAGTTAGTCACTGACGTGACACGCTGTTATCGTGCGGAGATTTATGGTAGACTGCTATGAACGTCCTATTGGTAGATATTGTTTTCCTGTTCAATATTACATTGCCTTGGCGCAGTGGTTAGTGCAATAGCACTTTAATCCTGGGCACCTGAGTGCCATTCGTGGTCATGGCTTATGTCGGTGACGAGTGATATCTGAAACGCTCATGAGCACACCCCCTTTACCAACCAGCACTGACCAGCACGGTGAAGTGTGGTCAAATAACCCACATAGGACGGAGAGACCCTCATCCCGCAGTGAATTGGCAAAGGGCTATAGAGTATCCTAATGTATTTAAACAAAAATTGCTATGAACTAAGTTCAACGTTCCTGGCTTTTGCGAATTGCAAACTACGAGACGGTAATAAAATCCACCTAGACACTTAGTCGGTCCCCACGTTTTCAATGTGGTAGCAGCACCAATGACCTTTGCTGATTTGGAGGAACGTGCTGGTAAAATGATGCAGTAAAAATCTGTACAATCTGTAAACAGGATCGAGTGTATAATCATGGCACATTTAAAGGCATTGATGTCCTTGTAAAAGGTCATCATAATTAATTATTAGTTGAACACAATCAAAATAATGAATCCATTCAAAATGTTGAGTTACCATAAATATGGCTTCATTATGCGTGGAAGAAACTGGATACTTTCCCTACTCAGGCTTCAATGTGTACTACCCGTGCATATTGGTATGCATAGGTGAAATGAAGCCATTCAACAATCACTTCGAAAGCGTAACAGAAATGCCAGTAGTGGTGTGCGCACTAATAACAGTACCAACGTTTTTCACGTTTTGCATTGCAACCAATGCTGGCAGTCGAACACTGATTACGTTGTTCTTGTGCAGAGAAATCCCAGAAAAATTATCGTCCATTACATGGGTACCATTTGGCAACATACCTATTATAAAATAAAATAAAAATACTTCAATCCAGAAAACATTACATTAATGAACAACACAACAATGCATTAGCAACGAACACGCTTATATAATATCGGACCTGCACAAAGGAAATGACTCCATTACATTTAGCCAGGCTGACAGCAAATCGTGACTGTTTTGGCAGGGAACAAATATAAATTGCCTGGCAGCCTTCGATAATTTGCCTTGATCAGCAACCCTGTACATCGCAACAACATTGTTTTACATTTTATTGATATGCACTATGAAAGCACTGACGCAGCGAGCAACTATTCCATGGCCACTAACATAATATTGTCCGAGGGAAGAAACTGCATCACGTGTCCAGCTCAGTACTTTTGCACCAAAGCTTTTCATTGTAACTTCATTCGGAGGTCAGCGGGACCGCTTAATTGAAGCCATCCCTTTTCCCTTCTTTGACTTCATTGTTTATTTATGAAACCCTTCCCAGCTGCGGATTTGTAGCAAATTATCTGCGTTACATTGAAGCGATGGCTTTGTGTCACGGGAATGCAGTGCCCGCGTGGGTGAAAGACGCGTTGGCCGTCGAACGTAACGCACGAATAAATCCTCCTGGAGCCGCCAGAGTGAAACGGCTTTCGGCAGCCTCTGCTCGTGACAGATGTTAAGGGCCGTGCCACCTTGCTCTCCCAAACAGGAGAGCTTCAAACCCAGCTGCCCAGCCGATCCACACGGTTGCTGCCTTTTTCAAAAGAATTCTCAAACGTTTCCCAACGTCGCTGAGCGCGGGCCAAGAATACAAATGACTCTACCCGAATGCGATGTTTAAAGCATCAGCTTTGCCTGCCACTTCTGTCATCCTCAAAGACAAAGATCCCTCGTATACCCTTTAAGAGACTGTTGAGTGAACACCTACGAAGGCCGGCGTGGCAACACGAGGGGGTGGGTGGCCAACACCATGCCCGGCGGCCTTTGTCTCCCCAGTGCTGATGATTACACACCGCACGAGATACTCGTTTGAGGCCGAGTCGACCTAGGGGATGCCCAGGTACTGGTTCAAATATTCGCCACTGTTATTGGTCCCTGAGCGGGAATCGGCTCTAGAGTCGCCAGGTTCACAACCCACTCCGCCACCGCTCCCCACTCTGTCATCTTCACAAACATTCTCACATGCAACAGCAACAAAAACACCCATTTCTAAACGTTGCCTAGGTGTCACCAGATTGCAGCTTCATTCCGTGATCGCTTTGACTCGCATTTCCACCGTCAGGAGATGCGTATGGGTGTCGTCATCATCTTCTATCACATATCCTGGACATTTCAAAGAATAATATTGCAGTTCAGCACGAGGGTCAAGCCCCATTCACGATGCAATTTTTACTGAAATCACACTGACAGGTTACAACACTATTAAGTGTCTGTACCTATTGAAGTGCCCTCCTCTTTCACATCGCTGTATATCATTAAACGAGACTCGCGGTGAAAACGGGAAGAGTAAAAAATTTCCCCCCAGAACTTTCATTAGAATTCAGAGGGTCTAACACGCTGTTGAATCAAATTGCTATAACAAATAATAAAAATAAAAACAAGTATTTTGGAAGAAAACAGAATTAGGGATCCAAAGGTCAATTTCTCAACACGGTATAAAAGCGAGGTTTTGTTGCAGCCTTGTGGAAAGGTTGATTAGTATTTGGGGCGCAGCTCTTCTTTGAAAGCTTCCGTAATTCCGACAAAGACAAGGAGGCTCTGTGCTCCGTCGTTTGGTGAGCCCTCCCACACACACACACACATCCTTGTGCAACTGCCAACACCATTCTGTTGCTGAATGGGACGGTGACGGGAAACAGGGGTTGACCCCCGTCACCCGTAGACATCACCTCCCACTAACCCTCGCCGCCGCAGCCTGCCGATCCACTTGAGCCACGGGGGCCCCCCCGCTCGTCAACGGTTCCCACGGCCCTCCTGGGAGTAATCCGTCCCCTTGTTGCACGGACAGCATCGTCCCCCAAGAGCTTAGCGCTAATGCCAAACTCCTGATGAGATGTTCTCTTCGATCGCAAGGAGACGATGCCGGCACAAAGAGACAATTGTTTCTGTCATCCGGCACGAAGCAACACCAGAACAACAACAACAACAACAAAAGGCCATGTCACAATTACAACTAATATATTAACTTATTAGGTGGTGGGTAAATTTTACTTGGTGGGATTTTATATCTCTCATATAAGTTCCCCCGTTGCGTTGAGTTATTAGGTCCTGTTCCTCTAAGGAGAAAAGTATGTTCATAATGTTGGGATGAAATATCCCCCGATTGATTCAGTACTTATAGTATTTAACATTGCCCAGCAAGCGGAGGGTGAAATATTTAGCCAGACTAGCAACCTCCATGTCCTTTGGACGTGACCGTCCCTCCGAGCCAGCCAGCAAAACTTTGAATATTATATAAAGCCCTATCTCTCTCCACCTCTTTCTTACCTTCTCTGTACTGTATATCCCAATTTATCTAACTTTCTGGCTTTGTCTGATTACATTTGTTTACCTATTTCTTTATCTATTTGTTTATCGATTACTCTGTCCCCTCTTCTACGTCTCCCTCTATCTTTCCTCTCCTTTCGTGGCCTTTCACTCTCCTTACCCCCCTGCTCTCCCTCTCTTTCTTCCTCCTGTATTTCACTCCCTCAACTCCATTATGCATCTCCATCCCTCACCTCTCTCCTCTATCTCTGTCGCATTTGCGCGAGTGCTACGGCTGGGAGGGAGGGTGTGTGGGGGGGAATGTGATGTCAGCATGCACGCAACGCAGCCAGGAATCCAGGCAGGAAGCCAGCCATAAAACTTTATTCTAATATAGTATGATGCTCAGAGGTTTTGCCAAGGGGATTTGTATTTGATCAGGTTAAACCTCTGGACCACCTAGCCATGGCTAATGATAATTAGTACTAATAACCATAGAGAGACTGAGAGTAACAGGAGGCCAACATTAGTGCTGAATAGCCATGGCCTCGGTCATTAGCCATTGACGTTGCCTCCCTTTCATCTAATTGCGGCTTTGAAATTAGCATGAACGCAAAGTCCTCTAGAAGTACCAGAAACAGAATCTTTAATAATCCTGGAGAAATTCGATGAGCTATGAAGCTCTTTTTCACAGATGTCCAATGCTTTCACAGATGTCCAGTGATTTAAGGAATACATTAATGCTGTGCTTCGAGAGCATTCTCATGTTGTAGTCCATGCCTATCATAGCAGAACTGAATCACTGCATTCCCTACCATCTCTAAACTGTTCCCAATCACGTCTTGAAGGCACATTTTGACTATAATCAACTGCCGATGCAGCAACTGCGCATGCAACCCGCCTGTAAAGTGGAATCACGTCACCCTGGGAAGAGATGACCGATAAAGGCTCCCGCATCTCCTGCCGCCACGGTTTCACCTTCACATCCACCTGGCGATACACCCAGTGGCTTGCCCCTGCCCCAAACGGCTCCCCTTCCATCACCCCTCGCCTCTCCGGTCCTACCCCTCCAACCCTGTTCCCCCCGGGTGCGCGTTTGTCCCCTTCCCCGCCGTCCCAAACCCCGGCTCGCCCGCCCAGGCTCCAGCATGGTGGTGGGCGAGGAGGACTCAGCGAGTCCCCTGCACCACGTGGCTCATGGCAGCGGCGGCTCCGTGTCGTCCGGAGACGGCGGCTCTGACACGGTTCTCATCGGCATGACGCGCATCCCCGTCATCGAGAACCCGCAGTACTTCAGCGACTCGCTGGGCCCCGGCAAGGACGCGCACATGTGTGAGTTGTTTGTCGGACGCGTGCGCGCGGCGCGCAACAAGCGAGAACCGTCGAAGGTGTAAGAGGGAAACAGTTCATCTTCTTGGTTCTTTCGGTAAAGTCACGTAGAAGGGAAATAATAAAATAATAAAAATAAAACATAATAAAATAATTCTCACGACGTTTCGGCCACAACGCAAGCAGTCATCTTTAGGTGAAACAGTTGATACGTTTCAATCTTGATTTGAAGCTTGCGTGACTGCAGGAATCCGTACTCTTTGGTTCTTTCGGTAAAGTCACGTAGGTAGAAAAATAATAGATCACCTGATGACGATTGCTTTTGTTGCGATCGAAACGTCGTGATCTATTATTTTTCTACCTACGTGACTTTACCGAAAGAACCAAAGAGTATAATTGATACGTTTGTTGAATTTTAGCAAAGTTGTACAAACTCGGTGATATGAGATTATGGGAGGGAATTCCGAATTCGTGCAATGCATGGGAAGAAGCGTAAATGTGCGTGTTGCGGGCTACTGTGCGGCGAGTGAGTGCGGCGCTGTGAGCCGCAACTGTGGTGGTTAAACAGTGCGACCGCTGAGTGAAGTTCACGGGAACGGTAACCGCGGTAGTAGCGTGAGAAGAGTAATAAGGAGGCGACGTGCACCCGAAGGAGAGATTCATGCCGAAATTCCTGATAGAAATTAACGTAACGTAAAAGACAGAATTGCGTCAAGATCTTTGCATCGGGCAGATACACAGGCACCGCTCAAACTTAATGCCATAATTTTAATTTACAAATGCATATGATGTGTTTAGCAGACTGGCAAGTCAATCAGAGGGCAGAGGGAGCAGAGCCAAGGGCTCTCAAGTTTTTTTTTATTCATAAATAAAAAAAAAATGTATTGTCACACGCCATGGGACCCTTTTGCATCAAGATTTTCTGGTGCGGAGTGAATGTATTTTAAAAAAAATAATGACGTGCATTTAAGTGACGTTCACGTTGCACAAGTGAAATAGCTGACGCACGCCCAGCTTCACAGGGACGCGCAGGCACACGCGCGCCCGAACACGCACGATTGCATCGACTTTGCTGAACGTTCAAGAGGTATCTCGTATTCCACGTGCATAAATGTTTCGTGTTATCTTGGTGTGGCCAGGGACTGTTCTGTTGTTTTGCTGCCTTCCCCAAGCTTAATAAAATCGGACTTATATAATTTAATCTTTTTTTTTTACATTTAGTGACTTGCTTGTTCTTTTCTCCATTTGTGTAACTTGCTGACGCGCCCATACTGGGCATCTGTGAAAAAAAAAAGCTTCATAGCTCATCGGATTCCTCCTGCAGTCGAGGATTCTGATAAAGATTCTGATATTTCTTGTAATAATGGATGCGGGTGGAGAGGAATAATTATTAATAACCCACTGGTTTACTTGATGATCGTTAGGAATGTGCAACAGAATGTGAAATTAACCCAAACAATGTCTACATGTCGGTGTGATTGTGGCATGGATCAAGTAGGACATCGCATTTTTTAAAAAAAGTGGTTGTAAGTTTTTGGAGTTTGGTTGAACGTGAGTGCTTAAAAGGTGGCGGTGCTTTTAAAGTGAACTCTTTTTAAGTGTATATTGAACGCTTTATCGAGAAAATCTATCCCTAAAAAAAAATTGGTTTTCAGTAATAACAACTATCAATCAACAACGGTGATTCAAAATAACTGGTCAGCAAACCCCCGAGTGTGCTTTTTGCGTTCACAACAATGAAGGCGAAGGCTTTATTGTCAACCCGGGTTATATCGCAAGGCAAAATAAACCAACAGGTTTGAGACGTCATTTATTTCATATCGGCGGACGCGCGCCTCCCTCGCGCTGGAAGCTGATACAGCCGTGATTAAACATCTCCGACAGCCTGGCACTTTCCACCAACCTCACAATAGCGCACGCGTCAGACTGCATGGCACCGTGCTTGCGGTCTCTGTGGTAACAAGTTCTGCATCTCTAATTAACACATTATGAGCCAGCGTTGAGACTAATGACTGTTGAGTTTTGAGTCTTTTTTTTGCAACGCAAAAGCTTTTATTTTTAATTAGGCTTCAGACGGAGGCGCTACAATTGCTTTTTTAATACACTGCACACGTATGCCGGAAGGTCAAAATGAGTTTGAGATGTGAAAGTCCACACTGACTCACAATTTACCGGATTATTAACAATCAAACATATTAACAAGAAAGTCCACGGCGTCTTTTTTTGGATGGGGAAGTGCGCGAGGCGCTTCGTCCACTGCACTCTAAAAGCACACGACACGACAACTTTCATTTCCTGGTTGCAATGATTCATCAGCGGCGAGTGGTCCTAGCCACCGGCCCACCAACTCCAGCGACCTGCAATCGAGCCGTCCGTTCAACGCGTCGTAAGCTTTCGTGACCAATATATGTCAATAATAAAAGGGGGTGGGGTGGGGGGGGGTGTTGGGTTAGATCGCGTGAAAATAAATGTGTCGTTTTGTTTACGTGACAAACCTGACTAATTGGTGGCGGGTTTAACGACACGTTTATGCTTACGCAATCTAATGCAAATCAATATTTTTACTACTGTTGAAGTATGGTCAATCTTCCAGGACAACATAGTATGGGGAGGCGATCGTCCAGATTTAGATTTACAAACCCAACAACGCTATCTTGTTCCGACTTTTTTTTTTAAAGTGCGCTTTTTATCCCCAAAACTGCAATTCGTGCCGCAGCTCCTTTTTGCTGAGAATCAAGTGGTGACACGTAACGCGTATATGCCCCACAACTTTGAGCAACTGTGGCAGGTACAGACTGGAGAGCCCAGGGATGTGGTTTAGCGGGCCCACAGCCATTGATTAAGGGTTGAGGCTTTGGGGGCTTTGGGCTTGGGGAAAAGGGCATTGGGGCCAGACTGCTGAAGCTGCATGGGTTCAGCCTGGGTGAGACCTACAGGGGGGCCTTTCCCTTCACTCGCACAATTACACCGTGGCCACAGCAATCCCACTCGTGAGGTCCGTGAGATCAAACCATTCATTTTTTTGTATTCCCCACACAACCTTTCAACCCACAAGCAACGCACAGACAGCACACAACTTCACGACGTAACTCGACCTCCACTCGATTCTTTTTTTACGCTGGTGGGAATTACAGCACTATTGTGAGGTTACTTAACGAGAGCTAATGGTTTAGCCTGGTTTACCACAAAAGGCAATACGTCATGCAAAAAGCAGTCCATCTTGTGCACACGTTGACTACGGCCATTGTAACTACTGTGGATGCACGCCTTGCAAGCCAAGCTCCGTGTGTTGTGGTGCCAATTATCGATGTTCAAGCGAAGCTGCATTTAGCATTTCAATAAACTTGGCAGGGTGACAATTAGTCCGGAGCAGAATCGCATGTCATGAATATTGCAGAGCTATTAATCGTCCTTATTTTCACGTACAATATATACACACGCACACACACACGACCGTATGAGCTTGTGTTCACTATTGTCTACGTCTGTCTGTTCATCCGCCTCCATCCTCCTCCCTGCCCGCCCCAGTTGTGCCGCACATCAAGCGGCAGGACATCGCGTTGATGTGCGAGCTGGGGGAGGGTGCCTTCGGCAAGGTGTACTTGGCCGAGTGCTCCAGCCTGGACGTCGGCCAGGAGCCGATGCTCGTCGCCGCAAAGGTGAGCCCACTGCCGGAGGGGTGCTACGTTGCCAGTTTTCTCCCACCACAACGAGCCGCGTGGAGGCACCGCGCGCTCCTCCTGCCTTCGCTACAATGGGCTCCCGTCACCGCGGTTTACGCAAGCACACGTGCCGACATGCGTGCCGAGAATGGCGCTTGGCACGAACACTTTGAATGGAGGGAGTCTGCTTCACACACAACTTGTTACTACTGACTAATCGATCGTTCATCGGCAGGGTGGCGCTGTGGTAACATTTGTGCCTCACAGCAAGAAGGGCTTGGGTTTGATGGACAACTCAAGCGCCTTTCTGCGTGGAGTTTTGTACGTTCTCCCCCGGTTCTGCGCGATATTCCTCCAGATTTTCCAGTTTCCTTCCATAAGCTGAAACATACAATGTAATTGGTATTGGCTAAACATCCCAATGCTGTAAGAATTACCGATAAATTGCTCAATTGTGATGACACATAGCAGGAGGGTCCTCCTGAAATTTTGGCAGGGCCCTCCTGAAAAATAATATTGAGACTTAGTGAGGCTTTCCTGGATAACTGGGTGAACAAGTATAATCATGAAACAATTTCGATTTAAAGCTTTCGTGACTGCAGGGATTCATCTTCTTGGTTCTTTCGGTAAAGTCACGTAGAAGGGAAGTAATAAAATAATAAAAATAAAACATAATAAAATAATTCTCACGACGTTTCGGCCACAACGCAGCCGTCCTCAGGTGGTTTTCACCTGAGGACGGCTGCCTGCGTTGTGGCCGAAACGTCATGAGAATTATTTTATTATGTTTAATTTTTATTATTTTATTACTTCCCTTCTACGTGACTTTACCGAAAGAACCAAGAAGATAAAACAATTCTAAATCATAATTTCTTCTCCTGCTGCTTTGGGGGTTTCATTGCTTGAGGAATCCAAACAATGAGACAATTCGTCATAAACTACACACGAGGGCAAAACACACTCAGAACTTCCTGTTCGGATGCAATACACTAAATACTCATCATTGGCACAATTCTCTAAAGGTATCTCGAATACTCTGAGACGAAGCACACTTGGCGCAGGAGCCCAGCACATGATCCATCAAGAAAAACGTTTTATGAACAGGTCCAATTCCATGCACAACCTCTGACCTCTGCCCTTGGATTCCTGAGAAGTGGTGTATTATTCTAACAGAGGGTTCATATGATCATACGAGCTGAGAATTCATGTAAATACATCGACACCATGTGCTCAAATGGATAAGTGTGCTGTTCTAAATATTTAGAATGTCATGGTGGGTACTAAATTTTACCACTTTTTGCTGAGCACAAATAAAAACACAGGATACAATAATACACATACAACAGATAAGCATGGATGTGTACTCACAGGCCTGCATATTGATGCTGGAGAGACACATGATACATTTTTTCGCATTTGCATTTAATCCGTCTGGTCTTATTTGTTTCTAAACTAAATGGAATCCATTTAATTATTTGGTTTTCTGTGGGAGTATCTTTCCCACCACCCTCTCCTTTGTTGTTATTCCAGACAATGTGACTAGCAAGTCAACATCCATTTTGGATATATGTCAGAATTCAGAGCACTGCTTCGCAAACAAAAGCAAGGCATGATAAGCGTTAGCATTCTTGCGATCCACTGTATAACCGACCGGCCGCTTCGTCATCCTGAACGTTCTTCCCCTAACAAAACTGATTGACAACACAACAAAGTCTCTGTTAAACAAACAGCATGTTCTTGGACATACTGTGTGTATTTTTACAAATGATGGGTTTATTTGGTTGAGACACTGCATGTGACTGTTCCCGTTAACGAAAATATTTCCTCCAACTGAAGGCATTTGACATTTTTCCGCAACAGTTTAATTCCCGGTCACTTTGCCAGGTGATCATTTCCACTGACATTTCAAATAAACACGATTAGTGGGAAATACAAAAGAATGTTCATATGGGACAAATGGGCATACCACTTTGCCATACCTTACCCAGTTTACTCTGGTTAAGCAAATAAACTTGGCTTGATTATGATGACAAATGTAACATTTTACAGCCTTTTGTCAATACACTGCTGAATAAAGGCCTACCCGTGCTGTATTGTTCATGGGGATTGTTTGACCATACTTCACCGCGCTGGATAGTACGAATGTTATCCGTGTCTGGGAATCAAACTATCACAATGCAATTCACTCTGTGAACTTTGTCAAAAAAATAGAGCACCACAGACAAACAACATCTGTCAACAGAAGTCTGACAAAACAAACATTTTAATTATAGCGATATGATATACCCAATACACTTACTGTGGCATTGATACAAAAAAACCAATACAAATCTGATTACCCCTACTTAAAAGACCATTTGAGGCATCTGAAAGCCACCACATGAACCCTTTTAATGAAAACAATAAAGTGGACTGAATGTACAATAGCCAGCATGATGTACGCACGCTCTCGGGGCAGTAAGAAAGATCTACCGCGTTCCCCGTTCGGACGCTGGCGAGAATTCTGAACAACATTCGGTAGATTTAGTAGAATGTTTCATTTACGTAATGCCGGTCTCTTATTTTTGGATTACGTCTCCTTTTCCGATTGGAGTGAAAACACACGCACGTTTTGGCTCTGTTTATTTGAGTAACGATGGTGAATCGAAAGATCGTGTCAAAGGGTTTTGGAACTTGTGTTGCCCGTTTGCAGCGCTGCCACAGGTGCAATTCCGTAACCGCTGCCCACAACATCGCAACGCGTCCATCAACCAGCGAGATGCTTTCACTGCTCCAGCCAAGCCTGCACCCCCCCCCCCTATTAGGCAGAGTAGAGACACCGTCGGCTCCTCCCGTCTGCAGCTGCTCGCGAACAGCGAACAAACAGTAGTGGCACGGAGTGCCCCGCGCTACGATCCCAGGGCAGGGAAGAGTTATAACCACAGCAGCAGCCATACCGGGCAGCATCGCTCCAACCTCATTCTAATCAAGTCTCCTTTACAGCACTGTACTATAAAACACGAGCACCTTGTGCTTTTAACAAACGTCATTTCTGAAATATGACCAACAAGGTTGACCAAATCACAGGGCATGCGCCCAATCTCGGTCATATCTCCGAAGCTAAGCAGGTTTGAGCTTGGATAATGCTTGGATGGGCAACCAGCGTGCGTGCCAGGTTGTCATAGGTAGTTTCGAGGCTGTGCTACATTTCGGGCAAGTAGAAGGGTGGTGCAATGTTGTTGTGCTGTGATTCTACTGCTCCTTCACCGCATTGACCAGCGTGGTAAAGTCGTATGACGCGGGGGAGGACTCCATCCACCCGTGGATTAACAAAAATGCGCGATATATACAGCCAATTACAATATGTTTGCTAAGAACTACATTTCCTGACAATCACGTATATAGTTTATTATCTAAAAGCGTATTCGTGGATTAACAGTATCATGTGGATGGTACATATATACAAGGGTCCATGTATTTATTAATATGAAACTGAAACCCGATGAGCGGATGCACACATTAGCAGGCCCACTACAATAGTAAAATTAACATGTACGAGCGAAAACATTGAAACAAAAGTATTTTACATGGAACAGCGCCAATGACTACTTTTCCACAACATCGCAGACCACCAACAGACCACAAGCCACGTGTTCACAGAGAATCGCTCAATCGTCTCAACGCACTCCGTGCACAATCGCATCACGGCTGTGTTAATCTTGCGAACAGAATTAGTAACGAAAATAATCTTCAGTGAAGGCCTTTTTTTAATATTCTTAGATTTTTTTCGGTAAAGTCACGTAGGTAAAACATTAAAATTAATTGAAGTAAAATAAAATAAAAATCACGACGTTTCGGAGGCAACACAAGCTTCCGTCTTCAGGTGGAACCGTCACAGCCACAACAGCTGTATCAAGTAAATGAGAGATTGCAAGAGCTACCACTCCGTATATATAATGGTTGGAGAGGGGGAAGGGCCAAGTACGGCACACTTTTTATTATTATTAATATGGTAAGGTGAGGCTTAAGAGGCTGAGCCTTTGTTATGGAGAGGTACGGTTTGTGACTAAGAATATGAATCCTTGCAGTCACGAAAGCTTCAAATCTAGCCTTTTTTTGTTATTTTCTTTTAGCCAACGACGACTGCAAGCGAAGGGAAGTTACGGGGTCGTGATAAGGACTGCGACCGCCACCTAAGAACTAAGCGTGGCTGAGCACGACGAGAAGTTACTACAGTGGTAGGAATGAAGATACATTAGTAACGTTATTGGATGCTGCAGTGCCCTAAGAAAGACCAAAACTGGTAATAGGATAGATATATCTCTTACACTATGATAAAAAAAAATTATATATTCTATGCCTCGAGTTTCCTGGCTGGCTGCTGGCTGGGCTCCTCAACAATAACTCTGTTGTTAGTGGCTGCGGGGCCGTTGCCACCGGAACAACTAGTTGGGTAACTGGCTACACGGGATTGTCCGTGTAACAAATAAACATTGGATTTACTTTAAACGGTGGAAGACGTTCGGAAGACGTAATAGATTGCAACATCGAACAGTACGCGAACACGGTTGCTATAACTTTTCAATTTATGTTCCTGTTAATGTAATTATTTTGCCAGAATATTCTTTAAATTCTAGAGAATATTAAAATAAAAAGTCACGATACATTATCTTGACATTTTATTACTTTAAACCCAGATTAGTTTGAGTGCTTTGATTACAGAATCGTGACAAGAGTATGGAAATGACAGCTGTCACCTGATAATATTGGAGGGGGCAAATTACATTCCCCTCACACCAACATTTTTTTACTAAGAGTGTTTGACTAAATGTTGACTGGATTAAGAGAACGACTGAATGAAATCCACGGACGAAGACTCAAATAAACATCCACAGGTTGTCATTAACAAGATTTAGACTATGACTAAAATACAATAAAAACGCTGACTATATTAACAACACTGTAGTTAAAGAAAATCCCATAGGAGGCATCAGAAATTCCGGTTTTTAGATTCGACAATGTTGCATTCCACAATTGGCATTTGCGAGGCGCGCCGAGACAACGTCTTGTTTCCACGGCAGGCGACCCAAAGAAACGAGTGCTAAAAGCAGCAGCCAGGAGCGTGCTGGCAGTAGCAATACTCACTTGCATCCGCCAGGACTGAACAATGGCCAGGCTTTGGATCAAGTCAAACCCCAATGGCAGATGTAATGACAGTCTTCCCATAAAACGCATCGTTCTTCGCTGAGTAATTACAAACACGTGCGCGGAATCACGAGACTTGCCGCAGTTGCGACGCGTGGAACGTTCAGCCTCCAATTTCGGACGGCGTCAAACAATTCGGTTCCTGGAAGTGAGCAAAGCGCTTTCAACTTGGAATCGTCGAGTCCATTGCGCGGTGTGTCGGCGGCGGTTGTGCTGGATGAGATCGCCGATGTGTTTACTGGTTGTAGACTGCGTGTGCTTCGGCACGAATGAAATATTCAGTTCGCGAAAAAGGCCCCCAGAACGGTGGAGAGAAGCATCAGCACGCCGGACGCAACCCGAAAACCCCCTTGGATTGCTAATCTGTCCCGTATAAATAGAAAAGAGACACTGGCAATTCTATCTTTTTCGAAGCCAGTGTTGTGTTAGTGTGCCATAGCTTAAATCCCAATTGATGAAAATGTTGGATAAAGATTTAGAAGCAAAAAAAACTGTATTTACGATCTACACGCATGTAGCAACATCTCACTGTGTGATAGGAAATCCTAATTCCATTAGGATCTTGGTCAGTTCAATGAAAGTCATAAAATATTATTTAGAGTTGGTTCTCCTGCCCGGACTCCCCAACTCTTCTTCTACCCTTCACGTACTTCATTGTTGTACTTTCATCAAGCATCCTAAGACGTGACGGCATTTGGACGCTATGTCCGCCGCAGTAGTTTGTTCCTGTTGATTTTTTTGTCACTGATAATGTTGTTCGCTTGCTGTTGTTTATTGCCGCGTTCAATATGTATGCACGTTGAACTTCTTTCGCACCGTACGTAGCCAACTGTGCCAGTCGAAAGCTGCGCACCTCCGATTAGCGCCTCTGGTTAGCGTGCGGTGCGAAAAAGAAGGTCTCTTGTTGTCGTCGCCGTCGTTCAATGTGTTGCTTTTTTCGCGACTAAAGAAAAACAAAACTCTTGCCACTGGGCAGACTCTGAAGGACCTGAGCGAGGGGGCCCGGAAGGACTTTTACCGCGAGGCAGAGCTTCTCACGAACCTGCAGCACGAGCACATCGTGCGATTCTACGGCGTCTGCGTGGAGGGGGAACCCCTGATCATGGTGTTCGAGTACATGAAGAACGGCGACCTCAACAAGTTCCTCAGGTGCGAACCTTCTCGACGAACGTGACGCAACATGAATCGGAATGTTCATTGATTACCGGAGGAATCCGATGAGCGATAAAGCTCTTTTTTCACAGATGCCCAGTCTGGGGGGGTGCGGGTCAGAAAGTTACAACGATGGGAAAACACGATAGGTGTGCGAAGTATAGGAAAGGTATGCACATCGCTATGCAGTATTTATCTTCGTTTATTTGAGCAGGTAAAGCCCACTGAGCTATTAGCCTCTTTTTCAGAAGCGACCTGGCGACTAATCATAGCTCAGCGTCGTGGCTCATCGTCACGTGGACATTTATAGCAGCCAAATCATCTAAACGATCCAAATGCACGCTTCAACAACACCCCCCTCCCAACGCCCCGACAATGCGGGCAGCTTTTGCAACTTTCATTTGGCCGTACAGGGTCTAAACCTGCGTGGCTTTTCGTTTCAGTGGACTGCAGTTGACTCTTTTTTCTAGCCAGGTGACAACTCAAGAGACCAGGACGTGAGTCTCGTTTGCAAGAGTGACCTGGGTCACCAAAATGAGAGAGAAAAATGAGTAAAAACGAAATCCTGCAGGGAAATACGACTACAGTCAGAGCAGAATAATCATGCTACAAGATTAAAAAAAAACACATTTGTCTTATGTTCAGAGCGTATTTGACTCCGATTGTATATATAGTAGGTGAACGATGGATTTAATAATTCCATTAATGCACACAGAAGGGAAAAATTCTCAATCGGGAAATTGGATTCAGATCCAAGCAGAATCTTCCCGGAATTGAGCTTTGTGAGGTTTTCATGGGCCAGCTTTCACAGCCCTTTGTCAATCCACTGATAGATGGAGGCTTCCACGTGGCATGTCGCTCATGAGAGTCGTTTGACCATACTTCACCACACTGGTCATTGTGGGTTGGTGAAGGCGTCCAGAATTGATGTTCATACCATTCACTGCCGATGTGTTGCATGGCTGGGAATTCAATTCCCATCACGAGGTTCATAACACGATGTCTTTACCACTATACCGCCACTCTCCATACAACATGGGCAAAAAAAGAGTATTATTACAGGAGCCAAACCACGCCATGCCTTTGTTACCTTCTTGTCACCAAAAACAGTTGCGCAAGTTACTAAACATAGCAATGGTGGGGTAACAACACAAACAGTCTTGGCAAGATGCTCGTTTAATATTGCATTTGCACCTAGTGTATACTCCAAGGCGTGTGTAGATGTATAGCAGCCAAATACTCAAAACGCGTGCCATTGATTCTAAATGTGGAGGGAAAAACCTGAGTACAGTACCTGCAGAAAAATCCACGCAACCACGCAGAGAGAGAGAGACACGCAAACTCCAAATATACAGCATGCGTCAGGCTCGGGATCAAAGCCAAATTCTCTTGTATACCGGGCGAGGTAGTTAACATCTCGCCACCGTGGCAATTTGAACCGCGGAACCTCTGCAACGAACGGCGAATGCCCCTAACCCTGGGTTTTTAAATCCTTTATATTAAGTTCACTTGCTTGCTTGCTTGCGCGCTTACGACCGTGCAAATCTTTCGGTCGTTTTTTAACCCACTTCCCGTGATCCAATCGAGCTGACACACAGACTCGTTGTGCGTGACAATTTATTTTCGTGAAAAATTTTTTCCAAAATTTTCCACTTTTTAGGAAACATTTTTTTTCATATTTAATTTAAAATACCAATGTGATAAAAATGAAACTCTTACTCAAGAAAAGCAGAAATGAATAATAAAATAAAACCGATGCCACGCATATAAAGGATTTATAGTGAAAAACTTTGTTTTTACGGGTTAATTTTTTTCCATCCCAGGCTGCGTGGCCCGGACGCGGTGTTCATGGGGGACGCCCCGCAGGCCGAGCCGCGGCTGCTCGGCCAGGCCCAGATGCTGAATATGGGCAGCCAGATCGCAGCGGGCATGGCGTACCTGGCGTCGCAGCACTTCGTGCACCGAGACCTGGCGACGCGCAATTGCCTCGTGGGCGCGGGGCTTGTGGTCAAGATCGGGGACTTTGGCATGTCCCGCGACGTCTACAGCACCGACTACTACAGGGTGAGCGAGCGGGAGAGAAGAGACACACGCTTACTCTGGTGTGCTTACTCAGTACGCGCTGCGGTTGATGTATGCTGCACACTAAGTACTGCACGTGTGTGTCTAACACAGTACGCGCTGCGGTTGATGTGTGCTGCACACTAAGTGCTGCACGTGTGTGTCTAACAAAGTACGTGCTGCGATTGATGTGTGCTGCACACCAACATGCTGCTGCACACTAAGTACTGCACGCAGGGTGTCTAACACAGTACGCGCTGCGGATGATGTGTGCTGCACATTAAGTGCTGCACGTTTGTGTCTAACGCAGTACGCTCTGCGGTTGATGTGTGCTGCACATTAAGTCCTGCACGTGTGTGTCTAACACAGTACGCGCTGCGGATGATGTGTGCTGCACATTAAGTGCTGCACGCAGAGTGCGACATGCGTATACTTACACAGTACGCGCCGCAGTTGATGTGTGCTGCACACTAAGTACTGCACAATTACGTGCTCCGACACACGAGGCGCGCTTACCCAGTGACACAGCAGCCTTACGTGCTGTGCACCTGCACGCCGCAGGTGCGTGCACTCTATGCTTGCAGAGTGCTCAATCACGCGCCGCACAATTACTACGCACTGGACATCGGTGAAAAAAGAGCTTCGTCGCTTATCGGAATCCTCCAGGATAAATCAGGATTCTGATTCTGGATAAAGATTCTGATTGTGACGTGCTGCAACCATTACGCGATGCACACTGAAGACCCACGTGCACCACACCGCGTGGGAAAAAACCCTCTCTATCTTATTTGCTCTTCCCTTTACAAGTGCGCCTTAGTGTTTTCTGCTGAAACAGATGTGTCTGTAAACACCTGCATTTGTATGTGGATAAACAGACGGCGGCTGTCTGGTTATGTTTTTGAAGTCTGCTTTGTTTTGATTTACTCTGATATTTAGAACAGCCTTTAAGTTATGAAAAAGATTGTTTCACAAATACAGTAAATATTAAACATAATATCTTAGTAGCAGTTTGGTTTCTGGTTACTTTAGTGAAACGGGTACATCAGACGAAACATTTGAAATAAAAAGGAAACGCAATTGCACTACATGGGCTTTATATTGCAATAGAGTATTGATTGGTCATGAGCTAACACATCATATATGCCCAGGTAGCTTTGCAGAATTGCATTACTATGAATGCTTTGGAAATAATTTTACAGTCAACTTATATTCTAGGCAATGTTATTTCATTTGATATTGATATATATGCGCAGTATTTTTCTTTCTCATTTTTAATACGGTTGTTCTTCTCTGATTTGTTTTATTTCCTTTGCTGTACTTTGTTTTATTCTCTCTTTGTCTTTTCGGTGACCCGGGTCAAATGACGCTATCCCGATCTTCTGCGTTCTCGCCTGGTTAAACGAGATAAACTAACTACCTTCGCACAAATGTCAAACCTGCAGTGGATACACTCGCACAAAAGAAGCGTTATCTTTCGCTTACAAAACAGAGCACATTCAAAAGCGAATCCATCATAAAAAACGAATAAATTTTGTTTTCCCACTCATAATGCTGGCGGTCATGTTGGGTTTATTATTTAGATTTTATCTGAACGCCATATCCTGACAGGGGTTTTCAAAAAAGCCAAATGCAGAACAGCGAGCGGATGTGCAGAGCAGGTGCAGGGGAAACTGGTTGTGGGTGAATGGACTCATTTGGGTCAGGCGATCTCAATAACACACCAAGTCCACACACAGCAAGCTCTGGTGTAATGCTCTCCAACAGCTTGAATCCCTCCGTTTTGACCCCTGATCCAACCTTAATCCTGAGACTACATATAATTCCCAGCTGTCATTTCTCAAGATAGTTATTTTAATATATATAGAATTATCTCTTTTTTTCCAGAACGGATATTAAAGTACTGTACACGTGGTCTCTTATTTAATACTCTACATTTCAGTAGAATAATATGCAACGTGAATGTGGTTGTATATTATATCTTTTTTATCATTGAAAGATGGAGCATTAAATCAAACTTGACGTCAGTGTTGGCACTTTAGTGAGCTTGACAACCACGCATGCATGTATAGACATTGATGACAATCGTCATGTACAGGCCCTTTATGAATACACTGCCAAATGAAGGCCTCCACATGCCATGGCAGTTATGAGGATTGCGGACCATACTTCACCATCCTGGGCAGTACGGGTTTGGACAGTGGAGGATGTTACCAGGCCGTTTGCTGGATGTAAATGCCACTCGCCACTGATGTTTGCCTTGGCTGGGAATCGAACTTAAGTCACTCGATTATTGCGCAGCGTTTTCAACACTGCGCTAACATTTCCCTGCGTTTATCAATTACCATATATATTGGGCGTCGCATTTGAGTCTGTGACTCGACTGTGCAGGCATGCGCATGTATGGCTGCAGATTAGCATGTCGAATTTATGATGCACGCCCTAATGCTTTGATTAAAAAAAAAACCTCTTCTCCTCGCCAACTGTCTCATCCCCATGATTGCTGGACGCTAAAGATCTCTGCGTGATTTTTGCATCATCGTTGCATTAATTAATGTTGATGAATAGTACCCCCGGTCTAAACAAAAAAAAACGCAGGACTCGTGAAAATAACATCGCAAGAGAAACCTGTTCCAAAAAAATAATGTCAAATAAGGATGTTGTATTAAAAACGCATTATACCCTATTGCAGAGCATTATGGTAATTTACAGCTCCTTTGTAAATCCGCTGTTGAATGAATGTCTGTTTATTGATTGTTAACAAAATATATTACAGCTTACAACCCAGTAGCAATTAGCAAGATAAGACCGGGAGGTTGAAACCAGTCCACAGTTTACTCGCTGAACCAAATGCTGCTGGTTCACCGTAGTCTGGAAGACTGAATTCCGAATTGACTAAAACATAATTTCATATTTACATGGACGGATGTAAAAAAAAGTTTGCTTATTCATTTTATTTTTTTAAAAAATATCACGGCAAGGATACAATTCTCATGACACACAAAATGCTCGCCACAACTCCTTGCTGATTTCGTCAAGGACCATAAACCATCACGCAAACTCCGGTCATCCTCACAACGGCGGTCTGGATCCCTCTGCCTAGTAAGCCACTGGAGATATGCACTTTCAAATCTCGATAGAAAAATAATTTCTGCAAACTGCTTTTTATGTTTAGTTTGTTGTCCTTCCCCCGCACCTCCAATTAACATGGTTGGCAACGTAGGGTGAGAAAGAAGTTTAACATACATGCATACGCATACATACATTTCACACGCATGTGCCATATTCTCCAGATTACAAGATGTTCTGGAACATACAATGCACCCCCAAACTTTGAGGTCATTTTAAAAAAGTGCATCATACAATCTTGAGAATAGGGCAACACCAATATATTGCACTGGTAATGCTCTTGATCCGTGCAGCCAGACTGAAGCTTTCGCTGGGCTCGGCAGAGGTCTGCGCTGTGGACATTTCACTGATGCTCAAAAGCTATTTCCGCCAAATCAAAAGCCAGCGTCAGGTTTAAAAGTAGTCATTGTCTCACACATCCAACAGCAAACTTCGCTGACACCATCAGATTCACCGCACACACAAAGCATTCAAGGCAGAGAGTGCCGTGTTTATCACTGCCGCAAGGTTTTCACCCCAGACGTCCAGACTGACAGCTCAGTTTGCCGACGTGACATTAACCCCGCTCAGTCACTCAGACGCATGCACCACCGCCTCCACTTGACAGCATTTAGATCGGTTCAAATCTTGCGGTGGCCAGCGCTTTGATTTGTATAATTGCTTCCGAAAGAAGGACAATTACGTTCCAGAGCACTGGCACCTCGGCGGACGATCGTTGACCCCTGTCATTCCGCTGCGTGGGGTGGATCGCTGACACCTACGTTATTTATACTTTTCGGCTGGCAGCTCCTAACGCGGGCAGACAGACAGACGCGTGAACGTAGCACCGCCGCACGCGTCTGCAACAGGAACCGTGATAATTTGCAGATGTTAGTCAATCGGCGCTCATCAGAGGCAACGACACCTGGACCTGAAATGTTGGACACTGACAACGGGGAGACAACCTGAAAATTGCCCAAAGCAGCATGGGGGCGGCGCACGCTCGGGATTGCACCGAGAGACGGGGAAGAGGAGCACGTGGGATGATGATGAGAGCAAACGCAAATTAGAGACATCGTGTTGACTGGTCAGATAAGTAAGACGGCTTGGGCAGGACACGTCGCTAGGAGGGACAATGGCTGGTGAAGATGAAGTTGCAGCCTCGGGAGGGTTCTTCACCTTCGAGGAGACAGCGACTACGGAGATGAGCGATGAGAGTGGCTCATGCGCACGAGCTCGATGGAGTGTTGCATCACGAGACGGTGAAGGATGGCAAGAATTTTGGCGAGGCATTCATCCAGCAGTGGATATGTCACATACCGACGATAATAATGACGATGCTTCTTGCACGGCATCGATTTTGATAATATTGATTACACATCCAAAAAACATCACCCTTTTTTTAAACAGGCGTGTTACAACTACGGGATCTAACTGAAGGAAGTGACTGGCATTGGTCATGATGTCCTCTCAATCTTTAAACGTATATATATATCTATGTATGTTGAACTTATTTTAAAACGTACGTAGCCAACCATGTTAATCGGAGAAAACAACGGGATAATTGGGGCACGTGCCATCCGTTACGGCATCATACCTGGCTATCTTTACCAGCAATGCGTCGACTCCTTTAAACAAATCAATAAACTAGAAATCTGACGTTGAATAACATTTCAAGAGCAACAATATGGACACAACACATTGAGCATAGTTATGTGTACATATCCAAATGCAGCCCCCCCCCCCCCCCCCACTGAAGTGGAGTTTTTGCAACTTAATGAGGCTGTTTCTTGACAAATTACACTGGTCAACAAAAAAAATACATTTTTTTCTGGCCTGGACTTTTGCAGCTGTTTTAGACTAATTTCAGGGTGCTGATTCCAAATCTGATCTCAGAT